GTGTAAATGCAACCTAAACACACCCCAAACTTGCGTAAAGACACCTTATACAAACTATTTACAAATTTTTTATGAAATGTAACCTAATAAATGTAAAATACAAATCATTAAATACCAATAATAATTTGTATTCTTTTAATTTATAGTGCTGTTTTGTGTTTTTAGGCAGGACATAGCTTATTAGGGCCTATAAGAAAACAATTATGACTCAACGCATGTTTATTAAAATTCATTCAAACTTAACATATGTCATAAAACTTACCTGAGACCATTGCAAGGAAGCCCGTTTTGCTGAAATCATGTGATTTTGATACGCGCCAGTTTGATAAGCGCTACGAACCACTGAATCAAAACAAAAGATTTGCAAAGCTTCCGAAGCTTCATAAAGCATAACTGTTACATCATGAAGCTTAGTTGATTACAATTTGCATTAGACACCTTATCGACAGATTTCAAGATTAATTTACAGCCTTTTGTGACATCTTATGTAAACCAATTAAACCAAGAGAGTTAATATGAGTTATTACTTAGCTTGCTAATGTCAGCCTGTACAAACCCAGCGTTTCTGTCTCCTTCATTTATTCACTTTCAGAAGATTTTCCAGCATTATTGGCTCGTTTGGATGATTTTCACTGTTGTCTGCCAGGCCTACAACGGAGGATGTCTTGCTGTGTTCTTTGTTTCTGTAACAATAAGCGTTGCATCCATAATTTAGCTTTAGTATCTGCTGCTCCTTTGAGTTGCTGTATAATGGCCATGAATTATTCTTATTTTCATAAACTTTGCGTCTGTTATGTTACCACAGCTTATTAGAGGCCCAGACATAATTATGACAATGTTTTGTCTCTGTAAATGACAAAAGATCCATAATTTTAAACTTCAGAGCGTACTTTAAGGCCAAAACATTAACTAAGGACAGACATGAGTACACAAACGCAGATGTTAACGCTTGGCCAATGCAGTGCATAGTTTAGCTTGTGTTTTTAGATTACTGTGCTCAAATTTCTTTGCAATGTCTGTGCAAACTGTTGCTCCACCATGACAGTAGTTGTTCTGAAAGAGAAAAGACAGTTTATGCTAGTGGTCGACCGATATGGGTTTTTTGATAGACGATGCCGATATCTTGGAGAGCAGGGTGGCCAATGGCCGATATGAAGCCGATATAATTTTATTTATTTTAATTTATATTTAATAAATTTGAAATGGATTAAAATAATTGTGTAAAATAAACATACTTATACTTTAGAAGACAAAGCATTTTTCACAAATAAATAAATATTTAATAAAAATCTAATTAAAAAGGAAGTAAACAGTATAACCAACAGGGCACTCAGTATTCTGGGAAGTTTGTGTACATTTTGCATACACCAAGCAAAGAAAATTACATGAATATGACAGTGGGCAAATGCATAAAGTGGAGCATAATTTGAAATCACTAGTTTAAAGTTAGTCGATCGCAGTTACTCTCCTCCTGTCCGTATTCAATTCGCACGGATCAACCATCATGCAGAGAACACGCGATCATGCAGGATACAAATGCACACTTCACAAAATCTCAACTAGATTCGACTAAGTTTGCAAGGTTCGTGAAATTAAATGTTCATTAGTCATTCAAAGATTTGTTTAAATGATATAAATGCGTATTTGCTGAATGCTGACGGCAAATGAGAAAGTATTATAATGTTTGCCTTTCTATTACTAATAATATTAAAGCAATCGTTATAATACTTTTTGAATACATTTTAATTCCTTTGTTTAACAGTTCTATCTGATTATTAGACAGACTTCTATCCATATTAGACAGAACTGAATGACGAAAGCGAACAAGAGGGAGAATGTGAGCGGTGTGCGCTCAGGCAAAAGTCCGCCGCGCCATCAAAATAAAAGTCCCGCCTCGAGCACAACGGCCAAACTGAAAAACTTATCGGCCGATGCCGATATTTGAAATATGCCAAATATCGGCCGATATATCGGCCTTGGCAATATATCGGTCGACCACTAGTTTTATGCTAATGTTCGCTTTAGGACCACTTGAAATGCGTCTGTCAGGTCAACTGCAAAGTCACTTTGTAACTATTTCTAGATTTCTAAGAATTTCTAGCCCTATTTCTTATAATCACCTATTTTACGAATTCATACAAAGTCACCTCTTCGTAAGATTTTTTTCATAAGACTTCCAATTTTTTGCTCAAAACAAACTTTATTTGTGAGGCACAACCTCACATGGACAAAAAAAACTGATATTTAAACAATTTCCATATACAAAAATGGCCCAGGTCGGAATCGAAAAGACATAAAATGTTATGCTAATGTTTACTATCGCACCACCACAGCTGGGTAGATTACTTACAAAATACAAATTGTAATCCGTTACTGATTCCAAATTACATGACAAAAATTGTAGTTAGTAACGTAATCCATTACATTACACATTTTAGGCAATAAATTCAAACTACTTATAGATTACTTTTGACCTATCTCATTTTTATATAAAAATACAAAGAGTAAAAAAATATATTCCATTTGTTATCAACAACATGAAGTACATTAAACATTATATTTACATTTAGTCATTTAGCATATGCTTTTATCCAAAGCGACTTCCAAATGAGGACAATAGAAGCAATCAAAATCAACAAAAGAGCAGTGATATGCAAGTGCTATAACAAGTCTCAGTTAGCTTAATATAATATAATGTCAAAGTTTCCCAAACTGGGGTTCGTAAAGGAACAGCAGGGGGTTTATGAGTTTAATGAAAAGCTAATAATTAATTAAATCATAAAAATGTTAAATTAAAACAAATAATTTTAAAATGAATCATGATAAAACACTTACTGAAAAAATATTTTATTTGTTTACCTGCATGTCATGTGACCATAACCATGAACATGCAAATGTGGTACTTCAGTATAAAATATTTATTTTAAAATCCCAGGTGTACTTCAAATACAAATATATTAGATGAAAGAGGGTCAGATTGAAAATATGGTGAAGTCGTGCATTTTAATGTGTTTGAAAAACAAATGCCTTCCAAAGTAATAGATGGTAAAATAACGGCGTGATCATTCAAATAAAAATTTGCAATGCAATGTTGCAATGTTGAAACGCTTCTTAAACCTGAAATGATTTAGTAAATCCAGTGGTCAAATGCTGTGTAGCACCTAATGACTGATCTCTGTGTGAATGTCCACAAAACTGGAATACATTCTGAGCGTATAGAAGCAGTAGTCTATTGTAGAGAGGAACATTTAAAGGTGAAAAATAGGAATTAGGGAGAATCAATAAATTATTAATAAAGTATTGCTATTGTGTAAATAATAAGCAATCATGTACTCCATAAAAATGTAACTGTAGTTTGATTACACGTATTTTAAAATGTAATTTAATCTAATTACAAGTACTTAATTTTTGGAATCTGATTACGTAATCCAGATTACATGCAATCAGTTATTACCCAGCTCTGTGCACCACTTACAATGCAAACTTGTCTTTTTGTTGTGTGAATTGTATGGAGTCAAGTGTTGCGCTCGGATACTTTCACTGTTCAATCTATGTTTATGCCAACACAGTCTCATGGAAATTTGTAACAATTTTAGATTTTGACGGATTGGTGACTAATTCGTACAATCTACTTACGCCCCACAGATGGTTAGGTTTAGGGGTGGAAGTTCATGTTTAAGTTTTTATGCTTAAAAATCACCCATTTCTGTGCAAATTGCATCATACGAACTCATACGAAAACACCACCTCATAAAATATTTACGTTTTCTGATAAGATTTCCGATTTTCAACTCAAAACCAACTTTATTTGCAAGGTACAACCTCACATAGACAAAAAAACTGATATTTATCCAGTCCATTTCTATATACGAAAGTGGCCTTGGCAATATATCGGTCAACCACTAGTTTATGCTTATGTTCACTATTGCACCACCAATGCTTAATTTTCTTTTTGTCGCGTGAATTGCGGAGTTTGCATGGTCAAAAAGTGTGTGCAACTAGCATTTGCGTTCACTTACTTCCACTGTTCATGCTACGTTTACGCCCACACAGTCTGATGGAAATTCATACAAATTTAAAATTTTGACGAACTGGTGGCTAATTCGCATGAATTCGTACAATCTCATTTGTACATTTTCGTATTAGTTGCTTATGCCCCACTGACGGTTAGGTTTAGGAGTGGACCTTCATGCTTAAGTTTTTTTCCTAAAAATTGCCCATTACTAAATTACATTATATGAATTTATACAAAATTGCCACCTTGTAAAATATTAACGTTTTCTCATAAGGTTTACAATTTTCTGCTTAAAATCTACTTTATCTGTTAAGCACAACCTAACATGGACAAAAACAGATATTTTTCCAAACTCTGATTGGAATTGAAAATACATTTTATGCTAATGTTTGCAATACCACAACTTGCAATGTAAACTTTTCTTTTTGTTTGCATGAAGTCAAGAGGGTGCAACTAGCATTTGCCCTCACATACTTTCACTTTTGACGGTTTACATCGATACACTGCCAATTAAAAACTATTTAATGTTTTGGGAAATTGATGGCTAATTCTTATACATTTGTACAATCTGATTCATATATTTTCGTACGATCCAACTTACCGATAGCTAGGTTTACGGTGGACCTTTACGTGTATGTTTTCTTTTCTATTTCTGTACACACCACACAGTAAGAATTCATATGAAATCTCGGAAAATAATTTTGATTTTCTCATGAGATTGCTAGACAATAATAACATTTTCGGAACTTCATTTGTGAGGCACAACGTACCTCCTATGGAAAAAAAAAGTTATTTATCCAGTTTATTTCCATGAAAGTGGCCTAGGCTGGAAATTAAAATGTCAGATTTAATGTGATTTGTGTATGCTTTCATACTAAAAACTGATGTTTGTCACCTCATTTGACTGGAAAAACAGATTTGGACCACATTTAGCTGTGGTGTGAGTGTATAAACCCTTTTTCTGATTGTATTTTGTTGTCTACAGGTGTAGTCAGACAGGTGAAGTCGCTGGTTGGTCCTGTGAGCACCGTACTAAAGCTGGCCATGAACTACGTCACAAACGGAGTCGTTTCTCACCGGAACATCATCAACGTTCACATCTACGTGTCAGAGTTTTGGTTTTAAAAACATCAACATTAACCTTTCTGTCTATACATTTTTGATGTCCATTTATGAAATCACAAAAACATTGTCATTAGCAAGCTTTCTGAACGACTATAGAAATGGGAGTTCTCCAGTTTGAAAGATAAATTTACTGAAACTTTGAAAACATGTCTTAAAATATCTTGTCTCATCAATATAAGTGCACTGTCATGCTGCACTAGCAGATTATGTGAAAAATACGACAAAATTCTCTTATATTGAAGATTTAATCAGATTTTCTTTCAGTGCAACTACAGTTAATTTAGCAAATTTAGGAATAATAATAATAATAATAATAAAAGAATCTGTCGTAATTTACTCACCATCATGTCGTCCACTTGATTGACTTTCTTCTGTGCAACGTAAAACAAGATGTTTAGCAGAATCTATGAAATGACATAAAGGTGAATATGAGTATTTCAATTTCTAGATGAACTATTCCTTTTAATGCAATAATTGCGTGAGATCATTTCTAAATGGACACCTAAAATGACTAAATGCTTTCGTCCAACTAAAGTTTTACAAGAGAAACATGTCACACCAGGACAGACAAGAAAGATGCATGATGGGAGCGATGCCGTGCTTTAGACGCCACTATGTTTTTGGTGGAATAAACATCATTTGCTGCTCTGATTTTAATTGTAGAATGTAAAAGCATGTTTTTACTTATTTCCCACTGGTTTCCTCTTCAGCTGCCTTTGGGAGTCGAACTGAAGGCGTTTCTGTGAATTGATGCGAGCTCATCCTTCATAGGGCTGAAAGAAAGACAAATGAATATGGAGTTGACGACTCGACACTGATTGTATGCTTGTGTAGACACACTTTGCTTAATGTATTGTATCACCGACTGTGTCATTAAAAAAGTTTTTTAGATTTCTACTCCCTTTTTGTCAAAGTCTACGATCTATTATTGAGTGAATGGCTGCTTAAAGGAACAGTTCACCCGAAAATGAAAGTGTGCTGAAAATGTATAAAAATGCATTCACCTTGCATCACTTGCTCACCAGTGGATCCTCTGCAGTGAATTGCTGCCGTCAGAATGAGAGTCCAAACAGCTGATAAAAGCATCACAAGTAATCCACACCACTCCGGTTCATCAGTTAACATCTTGTGAAGCAAAAAGCTGTGTGTTTGTAAGAAACAAATCCCTATTAAGACGTTTTAACTTCAAAATGAAAATATTTAGCTTACAGCTAAAATTTTGCTTTCGCCAGTGAAAAAGTAATCTCGTCTGAATCAGGAGAGAAATCTGCACAGATCAAGAACCATTCACAACCCAAAACAGATAAAAACAACCCCTCTAAACAAATATGTGAGAGGATTTTGATGTGGATTTTTCACTGGAGGAAGTGTTAGTATTGATTATGAATATATATGACTATTTTAGGCGAAAGCAAAGGTCGGAAGTTAAAAACGTCTTCATAATTTTTTTTTCTCTTACAAACACGCAGCTTTTCGCTTTATAAGTCATTAATTGATGGACTGGAGTGGTGTGGATTATTGTGATTAAATTGCATCATCACAAATGTTCACAGAGCTCTGCATATTTATCATTAAATACTGATGCATTTAAATGAAAATGGTTACACTTAGTGAACATTTCTACAGTAGGCTATTTTACTTGTTTAGTTGAAATTATAAAAAAAATACTGGGATATATACAGTATAATATCTTAAAGGCTGAAAAATATTGAGATATTCTTTTTCATCTTCCAGCCTTATAATTCATTATTAGTTTGTACTGGAATACAGTACATTTTTAGAGTAACCTTCCCATCTCTGGGTAAAATATGCATGAAACTCAGAAAGTCCCCATATAGAATTAGGTGCTCCGGTAAAAATGAGTAATTCAATTATTTCACAAGCTTATAATTTGACCATAATTTGCTCGGGTTGATTCAAATCATTAGTAAATCAAACTTTCCATGTAACTTGGCTCAGCCGACTCCAGAAATGAAAGGCCCTTGGTTTTTGCGTACTGGTCAATTTAAGACCTAAACACATGCCAGTGAAAGCCAATCATTCCCACAATGCTCTTGTTCGACTCGCTACGGTCATGCCATGCATTGATAGATCAAACTAAGTGCTGTTCGTTCCTCAGCAGTGGAAACTTGGTCGCAGCGCTCGGAGGGACAGGGTGAATGGAGCCGTTTATGACCGCATCCCTTTTAGCGCGCGGCTGCTGAACCGAGACTGTCTTTCCTCAACGTCAGGGGACTAAAGCAGGGGCCCGAGCTCATTTCAGCAGATGGAGAGACGAGTCTCAGTTGTAGCTTGCTCATGACCACTGTGGTCGAGAGCAGCCGCCACCGAGCGGCTTTACAAAGACAATGGAACAGTGAGGGAGTCATTTATCATGGTTTAACGTTCCTCTTCTTTGTGTTGACTGAGGTTTACCCCTCCGACGGAGGCTGCGACGTCACAATGCACACTTTGAAGACTGAAAAACTGCCTCAAAATCATTCATGCATGAAGAGAGAAGCGATATGCGATAAAAAAGGACATCATACGACAAAGAAAAGCACAATATGAGACTTAAAAACCTAGTGAGCGGTTCCAATAATTCATTTTGGGCACGCTACACTCTTAAAAATAAAGGTGCTTCAAAAGGTTCTGCAAGCGATGCCATAGAAGAACCATTTTTGGTTCCACAAAGAACCATTCAGTCAAAGGTTCTTTAAAGAACCATCTCTTTCTTAACTTTTAGTAATCTGAAGAACCTTATTTCACCATAAAGAACATTTTGTGAAACAGAAAGGTTCTTCAGATGTTAAAGGTTCTTTATGGAACCATTTAGACAAAAAGGTTCTTCTATGGCATCGTGAAGCACCTTTATTTTTAAGAGTGTAAGGCAGCATTTTACATTGACGGAGAAAAGACGATCCCACAATGCACTGAGCTCAGTAACAAGAAAAACATTTAATTTACATTTAATTTACATTTTTGATCAATTAAAAATATAATTGTTTTTGAAAAAATTGGGTTGGGAGAACTTTTTCAGCAATGCTATGTTAAACTATAAAAAAACGTTCTGAGAAAATGGGACATTTTCACTCTTTCCACAACCTAATTGTAATTTTTTAAGAATTAAAATTAGCTGAGGCTGATGCTTTCAAAAACCAGTTAACTGACCAGCAAACCAGTTTAGACTGGTTCAAATGTTTTTTACACTAATATAAGGGTACAAGCTTTGAAGACTGAAAAAAACTGACTGAAAATCAATTCATTTTTGAACAACCTTTTCAAAATGTTTTTAGAATGTAAATTAGCTAAGGCTGATTCTCAAAAATGTCAAAAGAACAGACCAACAAACCAGTTTAGACTGGTTTAAAAAGTTATTTTCACTAATATAAGGTTTTAAAACCCAGTGAGCTGCTTTAAAATTGTGCTCTGGCATAATTATTATTATTATTTTGTTTTTTTTTGCCACGCATTTTCATTTGACAAAAGCAGGGGAAACTTCCCCAACATAAAAAAAAATCTAATTAAAATATCAAATGTTATCTAATCTAACGTAAATATGTAAAATGTAATATATATATATTAAAAATATTCAGTTTTTGTTTTCTTTGAATTTTTATGTAGTTCAATGCAGTTTTACGCTATTAGCTTCACAACATGCTATTGCATGCATGAGTATCTGTTTGCAAAATGCCTCTGAAACATGACACTGACTTTTAAGCAAACAAAAATACACAAATGCATGCATGCACCGCTTCATATGGAGCGGCATGGCGCGTGCAGAATAAAGCCCAGAGAAATGCCCCATCCGTCCTACATGCCACCCACAGCCGCCGCTGGAGTCGCAACACATCGGCCTTGGGCTGCATGCATGTGTGAGTGTGCGTGCGTGTGACGTGTGTGTTGCGGACTGTGCTTTGGTGGGGTGGTGGTCAGGACTCATGGGGAAGGGAGGATCTCTGGATCTTGAGACCGGAAGAGTCCGTCTGGGACGAGGCCCAACTTTGGGACAGGCAGAAGACGGGGTCATATCAAATGCGCACACACACACACAAACACGCTCCCCCCCGCTGCATTTTCCTGGCCGGCATCCCCTGTCCCTCACCGAAACATATGTTTTAAGATATATGTGAGTTCTTTTATTGAAAATGTTGGGGGAGTTTCCCCTGCTGCCATTGTTTCTCATTATGTCAAAGGAAAACGGTTGGTGAAAACACATCCAAATGTATGCAAATGCACGGTTTTACATGCACAGATACGTCACTCGAACAGAAACCCAATAGTTACGCAATTGCTCACTGGAAATAATGCACAACAGATGAAATGTGGTTTCACAACACGTCACTTCTGTACGGTGACGCACTTCCGAAATAAACTTTGGCTACTCAAGCAGATAAAACGAGTTAATCACTATGTTTTGGAAACTTATATTAGTGAAAACCACATTAAACCAGTCAGTTTGGTGGTCTTAGCTGGTCTCCTATCCTGGACACTTCTGTAATGTGAACTTGGATGTAAACATTGGATATTGAAGATAAAATGTAGGATGGGATGGAAAACCAACCAAGCACAGAAAACCATATTAGGCTGGTTTAAGTCTAAATCTAAGCGATATTTGAAAAACGAGTCCCAAAACACACTGGAAGCCAATAAGCAGTAAGGGACGCGTCGAGTAATGATAAGGAGAAGAAAGCGCTCAGTGAATGCACAGGATATTAGCAGATCGACTTTAGATTGAGAGAGATGGCAGATAAAAAAAGAGGAAAATATCAGAGAAACAAAACACTAAAAAGAAGGGTTACAATCAGGCAAGAGGTAGGACCCGCGTAAATATCGGAGCCGCTTTCCAGCGGCGGAGAGACCTCAAGGAGCGGGAAGGCCTGGGATCGGACGCCAAGGTTGCTTTGTTTCTTCATAATAGGTGAGTAACATTGATTATGCTTTGTTTCACACAACTCCATACCCTTCGCCAGCAGGCATTGCAGATTCCATCGTCGTTGCCAGGGTTGTGTACGTACATGTGGGGCGGAGATATCAAAAGAGGGGCAAGGTCAGTTGGGGTATGGGCATGTTTGTTTTGGTGCTTTCAAATGTCAACATCGATTGGCAAAATTTGCTTAGTGCACCTTTAATGTCTAATATTGTCACGAATTCGGTTCATGGACTTCCGTTTATTCACCACCAGATGTCGCACTTTCCATTTCATTGACTCTCGCACTACCCTAGTCAAGTCACAGCTGATAGTCATGTGTTGAGTCAAGTCACAGTTGATCGTCATGAGTCAAGTCACAGCTAATCTTCCCGAGTCAAGTCTAGTCACAGTTGATCTTCCTGAGTCGAGTCTAGGCACAGTTGATCGTCATGAGTCAAATCAGGTCACAGCTGAGCTTCATGAGTCAAGTCAGGTCACAGCTGAGCTTCATGAGTCAAGTCAGGTCACAGCTGAGCTTCATGAGTCAAGTCAGGTCACAGCTGAGCTTCATGAGTCAAGTCAAGTCACAGCTGATCGTCATGAGTCAAGTCAAGTCGCAGTTGATCGTCATGAGTCCAGTCAAGTCTCAGCTGAGCTGCCAGAGCCTCGTTACATCACAGCTGATCTTCTAGAGTCTCGCCATGTCTCAGCTGTTCGTCCAGAGTCTCGTCACGTCTCAACCGTTCATCCAGAGTCACGTCACACCACAGCTGATCATCCAGAGTCATGTCACGTCCTGTCTGTCGCACCCAGATTGTCGGGGTCGGTCCGTCGGTATCCCAGTCTGGTGTCCAGTGTGAGGGATGCACCGCTGGTGTCTGCACGCGCAGCTGGTATCCCCAAACCCACTCACTTTAGCCCTCCT